CCCCTAAAGTGCAGCAGTAATCAAATGTAAACAGTGTGGGAGACAAAATATGGTGCAAATATGCAGTGTTTTATCACGTCCATGGTGATCTGATTGGACTAATGGATTTCCCGAAAACAGAAAAGTTTGTTTGAAATAAAAGTGTACACAGATGAGTCTAAACCAGCACTATCTCAACATATTTTCACACAAGTACTAAAATATCCATCTGTGGCGCAGTGGTTAGCATGCAAGACCCATGTATGGAGGCCTTAGTCCTCGACGTGGCCGACCCACGTTCAAATCCTTTGCCGCATTTTCTCCCCCTCTATGTTACCCCCTTTCCTGTCAGCCCACTGTACAAGAAAAAAACGAGCCACTAGTGCCGTAAAAACCGAAAGAAAAAAGTAGCCATCCAAGAAATTTCTGAACAGTAAAAAAGTTATATTTTTTAAAAGTGATTAACAGAGTAACTCATAACTTCTGACTTACTATTAGACTTTTAGATTTTATTTTCCCATTTTGTTCACACAAGTGTACACAAAAAGAAAATTCCTATAGTACAGCTCTCTAGACTTTTTTCATTTTTTTAAAGTGCAGCCTTGATAAACGTAAGCAGCAGTGATAAAAACCACTGTGGTTAAAAAAAGTAAAAAAAAAAATCTGTTTTTTTTAATAGAAAAGGTAATATTAAACATATGTAATAAGACATATCAAAAGGTAAAATTATTTGCCAATTCTGAGACATTAGAATAATGGAAACAAATAATGTAATTGTATTATAAGAAGCAACAATTTTCCAAACAAAATGTGTTTTTAACATAAAATGGAAAAACCCAGTACCCGCAGTGACAACATTCACCACTCCCTTTGTATTAGCTTGACCTCCAAATATAACTTTAGCTGTGTGTCTTTGTCTGAAGCACTATTGTTTAAAACACGCTTGTTTGTTATTTGGTGAAGTTACTCATGCTGGATAGAGGAGCTAAACACTTTACTCATGTGGAGTGGTGTTTTAACAGACTGAGTAAAAGTTTGGTGCAGTAGAAATACATCTAAAAGTATTTCATTTTTCTTTCAAAAATGTACCCAACTAGATGTAACTGTAAATGTAACTAGTTACATGTGGGCCCAGTTTTTAAACTATCCACTGACACCTCTGCTATGCTTCTAAAAATCCAGGAAAATAACATATAATGTTGAATTTGTTTTATGTATAAATATCTGCAATGAACACACCTCATCCGTGAGACCTGCTCTTGCTAAAACAGTATAATTTTCTCCAGTTTTCTGTGAAGATACCCATCATTTAGAGGGAACCTTTACATCTGAGATTGTTTTGGGACAACAGAATATGAGTCAGTTAGAGATCATGTCAATGTCATGAGTGGCCAGTGCACAAAAATGAGGGAACTAATGAGGGATAGACAGAGAAAATTCAAGACAATATTAGAGACGATATAGGAGGATTCTGCAGAGAAACGAGGAGGGATACAGATGCAGAGGAAACTCCCAGGATGGTACGGATGGAGGGGAGAATATTGTCAGTTGTTCTTCATTAGATTGGGATCTCCTCTGTGCTACACCTTAAAAGGTACAGTGGAGGATGTTCTTTTTCAGGGTGGATCATCAAAATAAGTGGTCCTCCTAATTGTCAATCATTCTGGTGATATGTTTACATAATGCTGTCCTACATGCTCCTCTCCATTTTCACTTACCGGTGGTGAGTCTAACATAGTGGAGAAATTGCAAATCTTCTTTTGGAAAGTAAGCTTATATAAGCAATGCAAACAGCAACTTTTAAACAGAGCGTTCAAGAGGAGAAATGAGCTCCTGCATGCTCTCACACACGTTTAATAGATGTTCCCTATGGTGAGAGGGTACAGGGTTGCGTGTGTGCATTTTTTTAAGTGAAGAGGGCAGTTCTTTTCAAAAATTTGCGAAAATCCTCCGCTCTACCTTTAACTACCCCATTGTCCACCTCATCAGGCCTCCTTCTACTGCTCCATTATTGTCTGCACATAAATCAGCAGATGCTTTGAAAGCCCTAAACTTTCTCTCCAAAAGATATGAACTCAAAGGTTCAACACAGGAGAGCCCATCCTAGAATAATCTAAAAATATCACAGATATAGAAACTCCTAGATGAGATCGCCCTTTAAAATGAATTAAATAATCAGTTTGGTTTCTCTTCAGCTCTCTGCTGTGATCGAGAGTTTCTGCTAAGAAATGTCTGGTTGTTCAGATGTTCATACTGGATGGAATCACAGCGTCAGGTCCTACCTCGGGCTTATTGGTGGCATTGCTGTGCGCCGCTGACTCTAAGCTGAGCCTCCTTCTCCAGAGTTTCTGTCAGTGCAGCCAGCTTCCTTTGGACCAGCTGCTTCTTCAGGCCGCTCCTCTGCTGGACACCCAGGATGCTCTCCTTATGTGTCTCCAGCAACTCGTCACGCTCCTGTTGGAGCTGTAGGAAAACACCCGGAAGCGTTAGCTCCCTATGAGCGACGGAGGATAAAGGAAGAGCAGCAGGATAGAGACGGTTTACCTTCTCGAAGGCCTGCAAGAGCAGCTCCTTCTCCACCTTCACCTCTCTGAGGTTGTTTAAAAACTGCTTCTTCTCTGCTTTGTACTTCTGTTCATCAAGCATCATAAGCATTAGTGCCATTATCTACCAGCAGCAACACAATTATCTCTGAGTTTCTCTGGGTTTAAACCTTTAAGACTCCAACACACCTCCATGAAGTCTTTGCAGCTATTGCTTTCCTGCAGCTGTCTGTGCAGCTCGGAGCTCCTCTGTTGGACCTCCTGCAGCGTCTCCTTCAGATTCTGCTTCTCTTGTTGACATGCTGTCAGATCTTTTTTGTGCTTCGCCTTCTCCTTCTGCAGCTTCTTCACCTCCTCCTGTGCAGACAAACAGGGCATGCAGAAGGACGGAAGGTATTTAACTCAGGTGTGATTGTGGAGGACGTGGACCTGATGTTTTTGCTCTGTGACTGACACACCAGGTCATTGGGATCAATTGGTTACCTTCCACTTGTTCAGGTCCTCCTGCTGTTTCTGTAGAATTTGAGAGAAGTACTGTTCTCCTTTCCCCAGAGCTCGGTCATGCTCCTCCCTCAGAGACTCAACGCGACTCCTCATCTGCTCCTCCATATCAAGGATTGCTGACCTCCTCTTCTTCTCCTCTGTCTCTATCAGAGAGCGCATCCTCTTGAAGGACCTTGTCTCGATCTCTGTGGAGGGACAAGGCCAGAGAGAATTAAGGACAGAAGAAAAAAAGAGAGAACGGTGGGGATGAAAGGAGAGCTCACCTTGAATCTTACACTTGTACTTTTGGCTGAGCTTAATCAGCTCCTCCTGGTGTTTCTGTTGAAAATGAGGAGGCATCAGTTGAAGAAACAAACTTAAACACCAGGAGATGAACATTACCTCACCAGCTTCAGCTGCTTGATGGAGTTGTGCTCCTCAAACTTTTTCTCCCTGCTCTCTGCCTGCAGGTTCAGGACTTCCAGCTCAGATTTGCTGCCCTGGTTCTGGAGCAGCAAGGAAGAAGAGATGGCATCCGCCTTCACCTCAAAGACGGCGTTGTGCTGCTCAGACAGGACATGCTTCAACTTCTGCTTGTAGACCTGAATACCCAGAAACAAAGTTAAACGTTCGACTGGTTCAGACCAAAAGGAGGAACATTAGGATGGGATCAGGATAAAAATGAAAGTGCTATCAGGCTTAAATTAGATTTAGGGCTTAGGAGACGTTACATTTAGGTTAGAATAATGTTAGACTTAATGCAAAATCTGGTTCTGTAAAGTTTCCAGTTTTAGGTATTCAGATTCAATAAGGTAGCTCTCGGGACTGACTGTGATAAAAGTTGTATAATGTTGTTCTGTCAAAGGTCCGGTTAGAACCATGACAGCTTACATTTATCTCCACTCGGTGGCGCTCCTCAGCCTCCTTATTCTTCCAGGTGCTGTTCCTCAGCTCTGCCTCTATCTCCTCCTGCTTCCTCTTGCAGATCTCCCACACGGCATGGAGCTTATCCCTCTCTAGCTGGAAGTAGCTCCTCTCCTCCCGTTCTCTGTCCAGCTCCTCTCGGAGGCGGATGATGTGCTCCACCAGCTGCAGGTAAGGAAGGAGCATCTTTTTATTTCTAACCTTTAAAATGGACCTGCTACTGTACTGTTTTCTTTCTTTCTGTCAAAGACAACCTTGATCCACTGGTTCAGATTAGGGACTCAATTAGTCCTGTAAGGTTTATTGATCCTGTTTTAGAGACTAATAGGCAAATAAAAAATCGTTACCCTGGGACAAACACTGTTTTGGACCAGTCTGAACCTGTTAACCTGGAACCACTTGTTGCTCTTTTAGCCCCTTACCAGTGGGAATAAACCTTAAGGTTTATTCCCACTGGTAAGGTTAAAAACTGGAAGGTTAAGGTTAAAAACTGGAAGGTTTTGTGAATTTCAAGGCTTTTCCTTTACAATCTGCACAGGAATCAGGCAGTGATGTAG